AGAGATATTATGATGCAGTTAGAAATATGAACTTGGATCCTAGACAGGTTTAAGGTTAGTGATAGAGATTTGGCAGTCTTCATTATATGGTCAAAGCCAGTGGAAAAAATGAGATTGCCAAGGGCAAGCAAAAAGATGAAGAGGCTGAGGATATACCCCAGGAAATATCATCATAGCTGGTAATGAAAAATTATATGACTTGTGGAAGACAGAATATGAGAACAAGACTAGTAAAATTGTGGTCACTTTAGCAAAAGTGAGGAAGTCAAGAGAAAGAAATTTGATGTTTAGTTTTTAGACAAGTTGAGTAGTTTCTTTCATTATCAGTAAGCAGTAAGACATGCTTCTTTATATCTGAATTGTTTCCATTTATCAGTTGTATATTTTTTAAAGGCTGCCTGACCATCATTGAAAAATGTAGTATATTTTGGAAAGGCCACTGTATTGGGAGTCAGAAAGCACTTGAGTTTGTTCTGGACCACTGTTCATTCAAATATTTATTAAACATGTACTACGCTAGATGTTGGGTTGCAATAGTAAGGTATCCACCCCTGAGGAGTTTACAATTACATAAAGAAAATGTAATCAAATACACACAATATGTAAACCCATGTGTACTAAGTGCTTTTAAACACCAATTGTAGGACATGTATGAATTTAAAACAGAGACCTCTCCTAAAATGAGGGTCAGGGGAGGCTTTTTCAAAGAAATAATAGTTGAGATCTGATAAAAGAAGTAGAAGCAACGATAGAGGACACTTTTCCAAGAAGAGAGGATAATATATATGAAGGACTGATAATAGAAGGAATCATGGCCATTTTGAATTTCTGAAAGTAGGCTATATGAGTGGAATGGAGAAGATAAAGTAAAAATATTTGAATGGGTCTGGTGAGGTGGTCAGGATCTAGATTATTGAAGACTGCATAGTTTCCAGATACTTATCCTGAACAAGAAATGATGCATGCTTATACCAGAGTGGTGGTGAAAAAAGAAAAAAACTGGGGATCCCTGGGTGGCGCAGCGGTTTGGCGCCTGCCTTTGGCCCAGGGCGCGATCCTGGAGACCCGGGATCGAATCCCACGTCGGGCTCCCGGTGCATGGGGCCTGCTTCTCCCTCTGCCTGTGTCTCTGCCTCTCTCTCTCTCTCTCTCTCTCTCTCTCTCTCTCTCTCTGTGACTATCATAAAAAAAAAAAATTAAAAAAAAAAAAGAAAAAGAAAAAAACTAATAAGTAAGACATTTTAAAAGACAAAATCAACAGAACTTGAAAGATTATATTAGGGTGGGTAGGGTGAGGGAGTCGAAGATTATTCTCAGGTTTCTTTCTCGTTTGTGCAACTGGATGATGATGTTGCCATTCACCAAGAGGGAAATCCCTGGAAAAGCAAATAGACTTGTGGGGGTAGAAGTTCATAAATTCAATTTAGGGTATGTTGAGTTAAAGATGCATTTGAAATAGCCAAATGAAGATTCCAAAATAGGCATTGATACCAGATCTGAAGGAAAAGACTAGAAGAAAAGGAAGTCACAACGTGGGAGTCATTGGGACATGAATGGCAATATAAAACACTAGAGTGGACAGGATCATAGGGACACAATGTATGTTGAGAAGAGGGCCTCATATTGAACCTTTAAAAGGAATCGAAACTTTTCAAGTCCAGATAGAGAAAGATAACATAGCAAATGAGAGTGAGATCATGTGACCACGTAATTAGTAAGAAATGCAGGAAAGAAGTGAGAGTATTTCATCATGAAGGAAAGGAGTAATCAGCAACACTGTACCTTTGGGCAGGGCCTATAATCTGTGTATGTACTGGTTAAACAGGTAATGTTTGCATATCTCAAAGCCTTGATCAGATTTGATCCTTGTTGATCTGATCAGATAAGATCTGCTAATGTTTGAGAAATGTTGAAATCTGTCATTTTATTATGTAATCATTCTCGGTTTCTTGTTTGGTTGATTTGTAACACTGGGACCATTCACACTCTTATCTTACTCTTCCAGCCCTCTTTAGAACAATGAACGAGCCAAAAAGATATGAATTTAAACATGAAAATGTTCCTAGTTCTTTTGCATAGTTGCATGGGAAGCAATTATACTCAAGATCTGGAGCATCTCTCCCACTCACTTTTCTCTCCTACATTTCCCCTAGGAACCTGGAAATCCCCAGAAACTATTTTGGGACCTGTGGGTATAGGCTTGAGCATCTCCATCTGTAAATAAAACTACTGGGTAATCAGTTCTCTGTAATTAAAATGCTAGCTAAGGGTGGAAAATTTTTTGGTATTCAGAGGATGCTGTATTGGTACACTCTTCATGTTAAGTGTTAATTAGTGACACATCACAAGCTATCCCCCACCTTGACTTCTGGAATGTTCAGTACTCAATCTTTTGAAAGAGGGAAGACCAAATGATAGGGGCCTCTTCCTACAGATCATAGGCATCCAATCACCTAGTACACTGAGTGTCGCTTATCCTCACTGCTGAAAAGTAGAGCTAAATAACACCAAAACCTCATTCTTCCTGTAGGTCACTGTGGCAATAGTCTCAACTACAATAGACTACTATGTACAAATGATTCATTTCCAGACTTCTGCTTTTCTTTAAAGAGTCAGCTGTCATGTGCTGTCTATGACTCATTCAAGCTCCTTTACCCCAGGGAAATAAACACTCTCAAGATTTCTGAGTTCCAGGCTCCTCCAAAGCCAGGATAGTCATATTGTTTTTATTATGGTGCAGCACAGAAGCATTCTTACTAATTCCCACTTGCTCTGCTGCCAGCTAAAGGACCATTGTTTCTGAGCCTAAGAACTAAGAGAGAAAGGAATTTGTGTTGCTTTGATTATGCAGGACAAAAATTAAGCCAGTTGTGTCATGTAAACTATGAAAGAGCTAATATTTCCAGTGATTTAGAGGGAGAGAAATGGCCGTATATATGCCTGATATTTTAATTCAATATGTTGCTTATCAGGGAATGCAGAGACTTCTGGGAAATTCAGAAAGTGACCTTGAACTTTTCATGCTCTATAAGCTGTCTTAGCCTAATGAAGCTCTACAAAAGGCGCTGACCTTATGTTCATTTTCCCCCTTCTAGTTTTTAAAAATTGACAGTTTTCTAAACAATAGGCTTTAACTTAGAAAACTAAGAAATGTATTTAAACATTTAATTTAAACAAGGATTTAATATTGAGGATGAAGTTTTGGTAGTTACACTTTCTTAATCTCATTCTCTGAGTACCCTCTTACCAATGTCCTTTATATTCCAGAATCGGGTCAGCTGTCATGCATTTTTGCCAAATGTTCATACTGTTGAGGCCAGAGACAGATGAATCACTTATTGCAAAACTAAATTAAGCTAAAATGTGCCATTGGCAGCATCTCTATTACAGAATTATTCCCTGCTACTACTTGTATCAGTGTGGTTTTGGTGCTTGGATATATTATATTCATAAATCAAATGAACAAGGGCAAAAATGTTTTAAATGTGTGTAGTAGCTAAGAAACCTTATGTTCTTTTTTCCCTCTAATAGAATTTAAATTTAATTATGTAACTAAATATGAAATCTAACCTATATAGTGGTTTTTTGACATTATAAACCTTAACATTATTAGCAACCATTTTATGGACAAATCATATTTTATAGGTTAGTGCCATATGTATAAATGAAGAAATGAAGTCAAGTTGTGTTTACAGGATATTTTTATTAAATAAATATAATGCAGATAACATAAAAGTTTAATTTTGTGGTTAAAACATTTAATGAAGATTTGTTTCATTAAAAATGCATACTAGTTGCCTTTAATCAATAACAAACAAAAACAAAACTTCAGCTTTTTCTGTGATGAATAGCAGTTTCACTAAGATAGAACAGATAAAACTTTTTGTGACTCTCCCAGTTTATTTCCAGTGATTCAAGGAAATAACACAATGTTCTTAAGGCAAAACTCAGGGAAATTTAATTTTTAAAAATTTCATGCATTAATTTCATTGGTAACAGAAAAATATCCTGAACTCAGAAGATTATCATTAATAGCAATTGATCAAATTCCATTGCTCATTATTGAGCATCTGTTTTATTAAATACATTGGAATAAAACTTAGATGATATAAAAAATAACATTCCCTCTCCCCCAAAAACACACAGGGAGCTTTTAATTTAACAAGAAAGGCAGTTACACAGTGAACAAAGTTTAATAAGAATTTAAAACCAGTAATAATTTAACTAAAGAAGGCGTTATGGTACATAGCATATGCTTAATTACAGAATGAATGATACATTGTAGGCATTCAAAAAAGGCAAAGAACACTTGCAGATGTTATCAGAAAGGAATTGACTGCATAGGATCTGAGCCAAGCCAGCTATTAATAATTTTACCATTCATGGGCTACAAAAAGAAAGCATGTTTCGTGTTGGATTTGACAGTTCTCTAGGGTGGCTTCCATCTAATTATCTGCCTACGTCCACATATTGATTCATATGTTGGTTTTCCAATATACAGAGCTTACTGCAGTCCCCTTGTATAAGTATGATGGCAATTATAGTGTTGACATCCCCTTTTGTCGAGTTGATTGGACTGAATAATAAAAAATAATTATTTAAAGTGTCTCGGTGTAAAAGATCCATCTATACTCTAAAGATAGACATTTGTTAATGTTTAAGAGAAAAACATTACAAATTCAATTAAATTGATAAAGGTGATGAGAACTTATTTAAAAAATATATAGGCTTGAATTTCCAGGTGATAAGGGTCCTATTAAAATACAGATTCTGTAGGTCTGGAGTAGGACCTGAGAATCTGTGTCTAAGAGGCCCCTGAAAAATAGATGATGCTCATCTCTGCAACATGAGCAGCAAGGTTATAGAGAGAATAAGACCATGGTTCGGGGAGGGGTATATCTTAAATGGTAATACCCTGTTTAAGAAAAATGGCAATATTGTCAGAATTTTGTGACAATAAAGGACAAAAGTCATATAAATCATTCCATGTTTGCTTTTAGCACGAAAGCAAGAAATCATCAAAGTCACTGAACAACTGATTGAAGCTATCAACAATGGAGACTTTGAAGCTTACACGTGAGTAGAGGCACATTTATTTTGCTTTCATGCATATAACAAGATATTTTTTATGTGAATGCATTCTTCAGTATACTAGAATTCATGTATATTTAACCCCAGGTTTGATGTCAATAATAGCTTTATTTCAGTGTATAAATTAAGTGTCCCCAGGAGAGAAATAAATTGAGGATTTAGAGAGGAAAGACAAGACTTCTGAAAGGAAGATTGGAGCTTTCTCTGTCAGTGCACAGACTTGGAATCATCAGTACCTCCATATGGGGAAGGCATTCCAGGCAGAGCATTCATGAGAGTAAAAATACGAGAGAGAAAAGCACCAAAAAAAGGCATTTTGGTTTAAGAAATGTTTTGCCTCACAGCTCTGTCAAGGTGCTGAGACAGAGAGAGAAAAGGAGAGAGAGATCAGGAGGCAACATGAGGCAGCCTTCTTCCTCGTCAGGCAGTACACCTCAACTTTATGTTTTTTAGGTAACAATTTATTTGAAGGAAGGTTCAAATTCTTAAAGTTTATAAACTACTGGGTCATAGGGTATATAAATTACAGGAAATCACTCCAATCATAAAAATAAAGCATACAAATAAATAGGACATGGATGCTTACTTCACAAAGTATGTGGGTCAATAAGTTAGCTATTTAGATGAAGATAAAAATCAGTTTAAGCCTTCCCCTTATTCCATACAAGTAAGTTCTTCTCAAATGAAAGAGTTAAAGGCAAAAAAAAAAAAAAAAAAAAAAGATCTCTCTAATCAGAGATCAAATTCAAAGTTTTAAAGCAGGGGAATTAATCACAAATGAGAAGTTAAATGCTTAGGCAACCCAAATTGGTAAAACATGTATACTTAAAAAAAAAGCCAAAATAATAAAAAAGTCAAAATATACAAATTTGAATGCCAAGAGCATTTTCTGCCAATCAGATCAGCAGAGATAAAAACTACTGACAACCAGAGGGGTGCAGATACTGCAGAACTATTATGACTTTCCTGCACCACTGGATGGAGTATAAAGGGAGGCAGACAATTAGGTTAGTGGCAGTGGCAGGGATTGGAGGGGACATTTAGTTCTTATATACCAGAAAGCATTTATGAACTTTAAAATTGTTTTGATCTTCTAATTTTACTTATAAAAATTTAACATGGTATAGATTTTTATGGACAGAAATTATAAACATATTACTGAAGCAGTATTCATTCACAATAGTGAAAAATTGGAAGCATCTGTCCAACATTAAGGTAACCAGTAAGTAATATGTGGTTCATTTAGTACAGTGAATGTTGATGCACAGTTTCTAGCTATCTGATGAAAGGCTTATAATGTACAAAATTATTCCAACTACATAAAAAAGCATTAAAAATGGAATGAGATATGCCAAATTGGTTTTAAAAGGGATAAAAGGATATTGACTCTGGAAGATGAAATTATGTGTGAGATTTTTTTCCTTGCTTTTTTTCCCCAAATTTTATGTAAAATATTGCTTTTATCATCAGTTACAAATAGCCAGAGTGCTTCTTATAAATTAAATGTGTATATGCATATACATTCAGACACATTCATATATATATATGTATATATATATACACACACACATACACACACACACATATATGTGTATTTGTGTGTATCAGCTATTTAACATGGGAACGCCTGGGTGGCTCAGCGGTTGAGCATCTGTCATTGGCTCAGGGCATAACCCAGGATTCCGGGATCGAGTCCTGCATCAGGCTCTCAGTGAGGAGCCTGCTTCTCCCTCTACCTATGTCTCTTCCCCTCTCTCTCTCATGAATAAATAAATAAAATCTTAAAAAAACTGTTTAACATGATTTAATAAAGTGCATTTAAGATGAAATAGTACAATATGAAGTTTAAAAGAGAACTCTATTGTCAGAGACAAGAGTTCCCTTTTAAATTGTTGAAAAGTCTGTGCCATAGAACCTGCTCTTTTATTCTTTTTGCTGATAACTTTGTTAGACCTATAGGATTCTCCAAACATGAGAATACTCTTTAAAAATGTTTTTTGTTTGTTTTTGTTTTTGTTTTTTGGTAATAGCATTCTCCTGTGGAATAGTAAAAAAAAAAAAAAAACATGTTTTGGTGGTGATGATAATCAAGCAAAACTGGGATATTTCCTATATTCTCAGACACTTTATTGTAGGGTATTTTAAATAATGCAATCCCTTGGAATCATATCAATTTGCCTATGGAGGCCTATTATCTGGTCTGATGTTGCATTCTCAGGCCCAGGGATAATCAAACAGGTCCTTCCATTCAGGAGCTTTTTGGATGTAGAACAAACTGGTAAAGCTCTGTCATCTGGTCCTTAGAACACCTGTTCAGAGTATGTGTGCAGACATATATACATCAAATGGCAGCTTTGTGAATGCTTTATTAGTCCAAAGCCTAGGACAGGCAATAAATACATATATACATAGGAGAGAGAGAAAGAACAGATTAACAGGTTTTCATATATATTGACTCTTTTGATGGGTAGGTAGAGATCCGTCATAGTACAATGATTCTCAGATTATTTTAGTGCCAATATAAGGTAGTAAAAAATTTTGACTCACCTATGTTGACAACTGAAAGTCATATTTATAGAGGAAGTAATAGCCCCAGCAGAATAAATTTCTGTTACCATAGGAACATTGTTCTTTTCGCATTTTGCCTCTTACAAAGAGATCATATATATTTGACTCCAAGCTTGGAAGTACCTGCCCACTAGCAAGTCTAAGGCAAAAATGTAAAATGCCTCCCCGCTACCCCTGCCTTTAAGGCTTTTTTTTTTTAACACAAAGAATAATCACTGATCTGTTTTTTTTTTAATTTTTAAATTATTATGTACTTTTAAAATGTTCTTTGAAAAAATCAGTTCCACATTCTATGAACAATACTGTGAAGAACCATAGTGAGTTAGCCTTTTGAAACTTGTATTTCTGTTCAACAGTTAAAATGTTTTGCCTCCCAAATGGGGGGACTATTTTAGATGTAGCCCCAGAATAGTCCCAGATCCTTTTATCTACTTTGTAAACTTCCACCAATTCCTTCAAATCCAGATTTTATGTCACCATCTCTGGGAAGCCTACCTTCATCACCAAAGGCCAAAGGAACTGCTTCCCCCTTTATGTTTCCATGGACTTTTATACAAACCCTGTGCCCAGCACTCACCAGATCAAGCAGCTAACCATCATTCCCCAAATATACTCTGCATTCTCACACTACTTTGCCATTGTGATTGCCACCCCCTCTTACCTACCACCTTCTACACACCTGTAAAACTGCTACTTGCTCCTGAAAGCCAAGCTTACATTTTTTGTCTTAAATCTTTCCTGTCTAGTATGTAAGTAATCTAGTTTTCAAGCACTTTGTATTTATTTCTATTCCACTCTTAATTGTTGCATTATAATTGTTTCAAAGAATACCCACTACATAGTAGGTGTTTAACAATTCTTTGTTGAATAAATTTCTCCACAGAAAGCCTACTGGCTTTCTCTGAATATTTTTAAATGTTGTATCTCTTTGTTAAATTACATTTCTAGGATTAAAAAAACTAATACGTACATTTTATTAATTTTAAAAGTTCAATAAACTTTCAATTCAGCTTTTCCAGAAAGTATAGGATGTGACACATGCCTTCAAATCAGTAATATACATATTTGACATGACTGTACAAGGTGTCAAAAATTGTTCCAAAATTATTTAATTTCAGAGCCAAAGTTGGTTTTGTATGACTTGGACAGTGTATTGTACTTGGACAGCACTTTAAAAATGAGAAAAACTGGAGAAATACTAAAAATTTACCTTGGAAATATAAAAAAAGCAGAAATTTTTAAACAGAGATTCCTAAAGTAGTATAGATTATCATCTGCTGGAACTTGATATATTATCTTGCCCCATCAGAGTTTTCTGCAAAACACTTTTTGCTCCTCAACCCACTGTGCCAAGGGCTGTGAAAGAAATTTTAGATTTTGTATTTTTTAAAGAGACTCCTTCACTGTTTGATAAATAAGAGTGGATATGTGTGTAACAGAATATATTAACTCATGTAATAGTCATTTTCATTATGATTATTTTTATTTGTCCCTACAGAAAAATCTGTGACCCAGGTCTTACTGCTTTTGAACCTGAAGCTTTGGGTAATTTAGTGGAAGGGATGGACTTCCACCGATTCTACTTTGAAAATGGTACATATATTCTAAATTTTATAAGATGACTTTTCCAGCTTCTTGTTGAATTTCTCCCAAATTTGCAGTTTTGTTTGCTCTATTCTACAGTGAGAATTTTACATCATAAAATTTTTTGTATTTGAAATTTTTAGGAAATGACAAGCTTACAGGTTTTGGTGTTTTTAAAACTATCTGATCTATAGAAGGTAATGCTGATTGAATATACTCCATTTAAGTCACAGTGAATGTATGATATAAGCTGTAAAATGAATCACCAAAAAAGTATTCATAAAACATCATTTATATATGAAAAAATAAAAGACACCACAGCATGTCAGAATACTTGACATAAATTAGTGCTTTCAAGCATATTTAGTGCTCACTTTTCAAAGTAAAATGTACATGAAGATGAGTGGTCAGGTAAATATTTCAGTTGCCATTACAAGAATTTTAGTGGTCTCAGAGGAAACAGCCATACAACACATGCCGCTGCAGAAATTCTTGAGGCCTTCAAAACAAAAAAAAAGGGGGGGGGGTAAACCAGAAATTCCTTTTATCTTCTTTTCCTTATACTTAAAGACTAGGTACTGTGTTTTGTTTGCATGATGCATAGAATGAATTCACCCGTTTTCAGTGAATTCTTAGAAATGAAAGAAGAGGTGTAGTAATGATTAGGATAATCAAGTCCACTTCTAGTAATTATAAGCATTAACAAGAGTGTCTTGCCCTGGCATGGATTTTTAAGTTAAGATATGTTTAATGAATTACTTTTTCTTTATATTCCCTGGGCATTTGAGAGCAAACAAAGAATTATGTTGTAAATTGGCCTTAACAAATCCTCAGTAAATTCTCTCATTCTCAATGTTTCTTTCAGTTGGTTCTCCATTGATATCATCTCAGCCCTAGCAAAAGAATTAATAATTAGCCCATTAAATATTTAACTTCCTTCAACACAAACTATATGTTATTCCTTACCATAAATATATATTCTTCATAATGAGGCATTCTTTTTATGTAACTGTAGCACTGAGTAATTTACTAAAATATTTTCTGAGAATAGGAAGCAGGTTTGGACAATAGGTAAAACAGGTCAGCCTGTTTAGTGATCTAAAAGAATGACATCAATGATCATTTGTACTAAATCTTCACATCTCTTGGTCATTGAATAATTGGAATCTGTAGCTATTGTCAAAACACCAAAGGCTAGAGCCTTAGGAGGCCTGCTTAATCAAAGAATGAACTAAAGGATCAGAATCAGGCCAAATGTCCAACAGCCAAATTTTGGATTTTTACTGGATGACTACAACTGGACTATCAGGAAATGGACTCTATGAAGTAAAGGGGTGACAGGATAAGATGGGGAAACAAATTGGAATTAATTACTGGCCAGGCTTTTTTCTAGACAGTTCTATCCATATATGATACTTGTTATATTTCCCTTGTCCCATATCCTATAGCAACTAACAAAAACGAATAAGACGACAGGATATCCTGTCAACTGCTCCCTGAATCTGGGCAAGGCTTTCTCCCTCTGTAACATGGCTTCTGTTTCTAACCACTTCCCATTATGAATAAATACATCTCTTCAGCTCCCCCCTCCATAGTTTCCAGAGTGACATGCAAATTCTCCAAAAAGGGAAACACAGACAATGACTATTTTTGCTTTCTCTTTTCCTTTATACTTTACACGTTGCCAGGGGCTCAATTAGTGCAAACAATTCATAATTGAATGAATGAATGAATGAATGAATGAATGGCATTCCATTCATTGGCCCCAGGTGAAGATATTGGTTTTGATTTACTTTATGTAGAAACTAAGTGTTGTTTTTCAATGTTATTCTCTTTCAGCTTTGTCCAAAAGCAATAAACCAATCCACACAATTATCCTAAACCCCCACGTACACCTGGTAGGTGATGATGCTGCCTGCATAGCATACATTAGGCTCACACAATACATGGATGGCAGTGGAATGCCAAAGACAATGCAGTCAGAAGAGACTCGTGTGTGGCATCGCCGGGATGGAAAGTGGCAGAATGTTCATTTTCATCGCTCTGGGTCACCAACAGTACCCATCAAGTAAATATTTCCAGGCTGTCAGCTTCTTTGTTAATATACCCATGGTCAGCGTTTTTTTACTTATTCCATTGTTAATAACATGATATATATTATTTAATGCTAGCAGTCAGTTACATTGGGAATGTTCAAAGAGAAACAGATTGTAACTCTCTAGAAAGATTAGACCAACTGTGGGTTGAAACACACACAATAGAAACTGGAGGATATTCTAGTAAGCTGATTTATTTTTGTTAAATCATGTAATAAGAAAATAATTTGTGACTTCATTGTCACAATTGGCAGAGGAAGGTAGAGAGTTTCTAAAATGGACAAAATAATATCGAACTTTATAGATTATCTACTGGGCCCAGTTACAGATATTAGAAGAAATTAAGAAACATTTAAAATATAAGTAGCAGATATCTCAAAATCTTCCTCCCCTGTGCCACTCTACCTCAGACATTATGTCTGCTCTTCTAGTCAGTAATTAGACAAATATTATTGTACATCTGCTAGGTGGTTAACTTGTAAAAGTTGTATTCTTGTTTAGGAAGGAACTTAGACCAAAGAAAAATTATGAGATTCATAACATCAGAATAGAATGGAATTAATGACCAATGTAGCAAAACTGTTAACAATTGGAAGTATACCTTTTGTAGAAGATATCATTTAAGACTTGTCCAACAAAAAAAAAAAAAAAAAAAGACTTGTCCAACATTCTGAGTGGAATTTGGAGATCTGGAGCACAGTCAAGGAATATCAGAAGGATGGGACAAAGCCAAGATGTTAGTTTTATATGGTAGAGGAGTATGGATAAGGAAGGCTGGCTCCAACTGGAGTAAAGGGGAATATTTATAGGAAATAAGGTTGCATCGGTGAAGGGATTAGACTCAGAAGCTTGTCCCACTGCTGATGTCATTCTAAATTCTCTCACCAGGATCACCTGTTAATATTGGGGGGGGTGGGATGAGGGAGTCAAGTTTATGCGAACAGCCATTCAACTCCAGAGAATCTATCAAAATTTCTTAGTTTAATAATGTACCACAGTGGTTTTCAAAGGCCTTCCCCATAGCCTTAATAGTTATATATCACTGTTGGATTTGTAAAAAGTAGATGAAGGAAAAGAAGATAGCTATTATTTTTAGAATGGATTTCAGCCCATTAAGAGAATGACAAAAAGAATAGAATAATGAAGACACTCATGTTTGTGTGTTTTTTACCCCAAAGAGGTACAGCACTAATTGCCAGTTAATATGGAAGGGATTTCATTCATACAGTACTATAGGGTTAGGTTTTTCTACAATTCCCTGAAGTATTTGTGGGACAGAGCCTATTTAAGAAAACTTCATTTTATGCCAGGTGGCTTAAGTGGGGCTTCTCTTAATAGGCCATCCTGTATTCCAAATGGGAAAGAAAACTTCTCAGGAAGCACCTCTTTGTGGCAAAACATCTAAGGCTTGAAAACCATTCACATATGGGTCTTGTAAGTAACATCCTGCTCCGTGATACTTTGTGAATGGAGCTAATGACTAAAAAGCTGCATGGCTGTTTTTCTTCCCCTTAAGGATATTTTCTTTTGCATTATACTCAATGGAAAATATAAAAGGTCTTTGAAAACTTATAGCATTTTTGCATGAGCTCTTGAGTCTAATGTTTGACCTCATTTTGTAGCATAACCCTTATTTTAAAGGTAATAAGTGCTGAGCAGAGCCTCCCTTCAGCATATAGATCTTAGCATTTTCGAATATCCTGGATTTCCCACATCCACATCCAAAGTCCATTATGTCTGGGTCAATTCAGACAACTCTCAATTATCCAGACCTAATTTATATCAAGGTCTAGGATTTTTGGGGGTCTGTTTTTCTAGAGGTAGTAATTCGAGTTACACACTTGGCTAAGGTTAATATCTAAATTAACTTGCTCTGCCTAAGTATAATGGTATTTGACTATGAGGACAGGCCACAAGAGGAAGTCAAGCTGAAATTTAAAACTTACATAGTGGGTAATTCCAGAGGATAATTGAAAGTTGACTGTAATTAAATTCACACCTGTGTTGTTTTTAAAGATTTGTTTCTTAACTTGGCTTAGGATTCAGTTATGTGTGCTAATGTTGTGAATATTTTCTCCACTCAAAGCACTGAACCTTGTCAGAGCTTTTAAGAAATAGTGCTCCCTGCTGTTGGATTTAAAAAAGAGAGAGACTCCCAATTAAATAATATGTTTTCTCTATTTTTGAGGCTATATTCCTCAAATTGACTTGTAGGTTTAACTCCCCAAGGAGTCTAAGAATAATGACAAAAGCTAAGGATGCACTTAAACTTTTCATCTATTTCAACAAAATATTTGTTTAGTAAATATGAATGCTTTTAATACATATTTAAGTTCAATAAGGAGATTGAAGCCTGGGTTCCTATTTTTATTTGTAGCTTAGCTCTGTGTGGACAAGTTAATAGATAATTAATACTGTTTACTATTTTAACATTGTGTTTAACATTGTGTATTTCATTTTTTAATGATCCCAAGCAAAGATCTTTTATACATTGTATTTCACTCTATTAATTTAGTTGTTATATAACTGTAGCCTAGTCACAGTCTTTGGCAAAACAATTTGACGATATTTTGTAAAACAGTGTAACTTATTTTTTTGCTCCCCTCCCCTTTCTTTCAGCTAAATATCAACAGTGCCACTTCTGCATTCTCTGTTCTCAAGGCATCTGGATGGTAACCCTGGGCCGTCCTCTCCCCCCTTCATGCATGTTTCTGAGTGCATGAAGTTGTGAAAGTCCTACACGTAATGCATATGTGATGCATCATCTTGTCATATATTCCTTTCCTATACATTGTTTACACTTCAACTATGGGGATGTTCCATGCAAACTTCAATTACTGTTGGCAAACAATAGGGGGAGGTCAGATAAAAAAATATTCCACAATATTCCAAATGCAACCTATTCAAGTTTCTGTTTATGCCAAGATATAACAGACTTCAAAATTATTCTCTCTGAATGACAGTTTGTAAGAGAAACATACCTTTTTAAAATTCTTTGCTGTTAATCAGTTTTGGCTTGTTTAACAAAAAGCAAAAATATATATACCTTCAGTTTCCTGGTTGATATTGCTGTTTAACAAAGTAGGTTGATATGTGAGCAAAATCACTCATGAATGTGGAAGGGAGAATCGGTTTGCTACCATCCAAAGTTGTTTTTGGTCAGACTGTAAACTGGAAAAATTCACATAATTTATGAGTGATCACTTTAGGATATATTCACACTTCTGGTGAATTTGCTGAATTTTTTTGTTCCTTTCTCAGATATATGCTTTCTTTTCTCCATTTGATCTTACTTCTTGCTGTTTGCTTTGTCTCCATCCTCTTCTGTCTTTTCTCACATTCTACTAGACAGAAAGGAAAGTGAAATTTGCATAATAGAGGTAACTAAACTAGCACTTTTGATCATCTTCAGGACCCACAAAACTGTTGTCAAGATTTTAAAGCTTCCTGATTCTGCTTAGGCTCTAGCTTGGATGTAGCGAGCCTATGTCAGTGATTTTAGCATTGTTTAAACTTAGGATCAAAGCAGTGAGGATTTCTGGATTTCCCTGAGCTGTGTCTGAGTTTAATTAGGGGACTTGCAAGGAGTTGTAGCAGATCAGGATTTTGTGAATGTGCACTTAGCTCTGCCTGGTGGAAGGGGCCCCTCCTGCTTCACCACTGGCTAAAGTCAGAGAGGTCTGTGATTTCCATTCTCATAAGTGTTTAGAAATTGATTTTTGTGGCTTAACGCCCTCTTAGCTTCTCTCTTGCGTCAGTAACATTATCTCTCTGTGAAGAATTAGGATTTTCCAGTTTAAAAAGAAAAGGGAAATGCCCATATTTTCTTTGTGCTTCTCATTTCTCCTTTATTTATTCAACTCTTGTAAGGCTGTTTCTCTTCCCTGAAATGCTTTATAGTGCATGGTATCTTCATCAGCGTTATTTTAACAATAGTAATTCACAATCTTCAGAAGCCTATTTTTAAAGCAGAAGCAAAAAACTAAACCCTCTTTCTCTCATTTCACCTTTCTGTGTTGATGACTCATCACCTTAGATATTGTTGCTAGTGGATGTATGGTAGATGGATTAAAGCTTTTCTGATAATTACACGATTTAAAAATATATATTTAAAATAAATATATACAGTAAATGTATTGAGCCATGTTAACCTGCCAATGAGATCTGTGAAAAAGTAATGGCCTCGTTTTTCCCTTTTTGATTTCTTTTACCTTTTTGTGAAGCGGCTATACGTGGCATACATGTATTTTAAAAATAATAGGTATAGAGTGGTTTTTTTTTACACTTTTAACTTAGCATGTGGTGTTGAAGTATTACTGTAGATCAAGTTTGTCTCCGCACTGAGATGTGAGGAAATTGTGATTTGTTCTCTCCGCCACAACTGAATTACACATTATCTTCTGTCATTTTGAAACACTGCAGTTTACCATGGGACACTGTATATATTTCTTGCCATAATGGTAAATGACTGATTGATATATTTAAGAGTTAATAAATTTGTGATTTCTGCTGACAATGTGTCCATCTTTATTTCTTAAGAAGAGGTACTAAAATGCATGCATCATGTTGGCTAGTGCCAACAGCAGTTGTCCTACTATGGTCTCATTAGTTCATAACAATTTATCTTTGTAAAGGGTAGACGAAGTTATTGAACTATGCTTCCTTTTAAAAATATACTTGGTAACAATGGCAATTTACTACATGCACAAAATAACAGTCTCTGCTAAGAAAATTTTTCTGAGAACAAAGTGGTTAAAAACAAGAGTCTTAAAAATGTCCTCCAATCCATCCTTCCATGGCTGCTAGGATGTTCCTTTTTAACCCAAATCTGACTGTATAACACTTCAGTGTTATCTCCAGTATCCCGGCAAGCACCTCCTCTCCTGCCACTGGTCGACATGAACTTGAATGTACAGATATGCAACATCTTTCAATTTACTGCAAACATCACACATATTTAGGCTTCTCACCTAGAATATTCCCCCTTCTTCAACCTAATTCTTACTCATTCCTAAAAATCCAGTTTAGAGTATCATCAACTTGATTAAACTTCCTTAGACCATGCTCTAAGCTTGCCTATCCTTTCAATATTGTGTAGTCTGGATCTAGTTCTGCCAGCCATGTGGTTTTGAAAACACATCTTTGTGTCTCCTCTACTGCAGTATAATGTCTCTATAGGCAAGAACTGTGTATTCATCTTTGCATCTCTAAACTCAAAAAGAGCCAGGAAGGGAGAAGCTGTTAATAGTTTTGAACTGTTGGCCAAACCATAAGTGGGAACCTCAAGATGCAATCAGACATTCCTGGGTTTAATGTTGGGCTCTGTCACTATTGTCTTTGACACTCTGAACATGCTGCCTCTTCTCTCTGAACTTTAGTTTCTGTATTTGTAAAATGACAACAAACAGACCAGTCTACTAGGGATATTGTGATGGGTACAAAGTACCTAGGGTAATATTTGGTAGATAACATTACATGGTAGCTTCTATAACTGTTATAATCACAAATAGTAATACTCCCCTTGTTCTTATTAGTCCTTACTCAGGGGAATAGAACATTCTTCTTTTATGGGTTGCTCTCTTTATGTAGGTTTATGGATAGTGCTAAGGATATAGTCATATCAAATGTCTCAGCAGGAAGAATAGAAACACTGAAGAAGATAGTCATCTAGCCAAAAGTAGGGAAAATAACATAGAAATAATCAGTATATTCTAGGAAAACTCTAAAGGAATCTTACTCTTAAGTAACTGAAATTCTGAATCCCTGTATAATCATATCTAATGTAAGGGTAAACATAGATGGCATAACAGTTGAGTGATTTCATTAAAATTCTGTTATCTACAGTTCTTTTAATGTTTTCATGGTATCTCTTGTCAGATTTTAAGACACTAGAATATATAAAAAGATTATTATGAACATTAGCATACTAGGCCACATATCCATGATCTGAACAATAAGCAGTGATACAAGCCACATAGCTGAGACAGCAGCATGAAGCATTTACAGTATTCCTACTTTTCTATCAACCAATTCTCTAAAGTAGGCTGAAATGTTGTCCATTAGACTCTAATAGGAAAAACTGATGAAATTAAGTATTAATATTGCCCCAGAAGTAACTATAATTTTAAAAGCTTTTACTGCTTTACAATACAGAGTCAAAATTTTCTGGTTTGCCCATAAAGATGATTTTAACTTTTTGAAAAAATGTTGCCAACATTTGAGAATCGGAGAGTCCATATAAAAGTTACGATTTCTGGGTTAATTTGAAAAATTGGCACGCTGGTCCCATGTTCACTCATCATAACAGAAAAGCTGATGCCTTTTAGAGGAGACCAAGTGCCCTGCCTCTCCCCACCCACAAATGCTCCACTCCTTTGAATTTGCAAATAGCTGCTGCAGACACTGGAGTTGAACATCTTTCTTAAAGTCAGAGCACTTATTGGCACCTCAGGCTTCAGCGAACATGGTCATTTGGTTTGGACGGAGCAGCTGTCTCCCTATTCGATCTCTCCAGCTAAAGTACCCAGCATTATTTTGACTTCATTTTTAAACAAGAAAATTGAGATCCACAAAAATAAACCCAAAGCACACAATTTTTCTGAGGTACGCTTTGATGTACTAAAGGGAGAACAGCTGCTATTTTCATGTAAAATGATTTATCCCATTCTCAGTCTTGAATGACCAAGAACTGTCAGGTGATTTTTATTGCCAGGTTTATATAGGCAGTGCAGGGTAATTGTGAACCATTTATATAAACCCTAGCAGTGTTCTCTCTGTAACTAGATGTTCAGAAACTGCTTTGGGGTGCAGGAGTGACCATTTACTAAGGCCAGACGGCCTGACTCCGATATTAACACATAATGCAATCTGAACTTAATAACTCCCCTGCTGCTCTCTCCTTCCACTCACCTGGAAACCCACAACCATGCTGACATTCCCCCCAGGCTGGGTAGGCAATGCTCACACTCCTGCTGCTGAATGTGGCTGAAGGGAAGTCCCCAATTCTGCTGACAGCTCTTGCTCTACGTTCATAGCCGTTCACACCCCTCACAGATCCCTGCAGCTGCCCAAGAATTCTGTTTCCCTAGTCCATTTTCTCCCACTCTCCTACCCACTAGGTCAGACTCTCCTTTCTGTCTCCTTCCTCTAACCTGTCTTTCCTCATCATCACTCAGGAGGACTGTGCTTCCAATTTCACTGCAAGAGGTGAAGCAATCTCAGCATCTCTTTCTGCACATACTGCCTTCTCTCCAGTTGCTGTGGATAAATAGCTCACATATCTGCCAAAGGCCAGCATCTATCTCCTAGCACCCACTCCTAGGTATCACTCTAGTGGCCCTCCCCATTTTACCACCACCATAAATCATTTCCTCCTTACTAGCTATCCCCACCCATGCCTGCTTCTTTCCTTTGCAGACTCCTTGAAAAGCCTGTCTGTACTTGCTATGTGTAGTTTCCCCCCTCATTCCTCTTAAACCCACTCCAGTTGCCTTTACAGCTTCACCAGTTTTTCTCAGTCCAGTGACCACCCTGTTAATTCAAAAGATCAATGTTCAGTCTTCATTTCACTTGATCGCTCAAATTGTTTACTATCCCAGTCTTGAAACACATTTTTCTCTTGTCTTTCAGACAATACACTGGCCTGATTTTCTCCCTATCATTCTAGATGCCGCTTTCCAACCTCTAACTGCTCCCTTTTCATCAACTTGACTTTTAATTTTGGAATATTTTTTTGTCTTCACTTGTTCCCAGGATAGTTATGTCCAACTTCAATGGCTTTAGATTATATTAATGATTCTCAAGTGTATGTGTCCAGCCTAGATGACTGCCCTAAATTCCAAACATATAGATCCAACTGCCTATTTGAAATCTACAGTGTACTTATAACAAGTGTCTCAAAGTGAAATGTCCAAAACTGAAATCTTGAGAGTCTGTACCAAAACCTGCTCCCCTCGGTCCTTTCCAGATCTCAAGTAATTGTCAACTCAATTATTCCTTTGATCAGTCCACACAGGCTAGTGTCTTTTTCTAATTCTTCTCTATTTGAAATCCTGTCACTTTTACCTCCAAAATAGAACTAGAACTGACTTCTCACAATGCCTTCTGCTATATCCCTACACCAAATCACCATCATATTCTCTATACTATTGAAATATCCCCCTAATTAGTCTCTCAGCTTCCATTCTTGTCTCTCTTCTCTTTACTCTCAAGGCAGCAGCTAGAATGAGCTTGTTAAAGTATAAGGCAAAACATGTCACTTTTCTGCACAAAACCAGTAATTACCCTTATCGCTCATTAAATATCAAACTTCTTAAAGTGGCCTATGATGATAAAACTAAGTTAAGATTCTCCTTTACCCTTTTCACTCTTCTATAAATGTGCCAGGATTGCTCCCACCTCAGGGCCTTTACACTTGCTATTTAGTGTGCCTTGAATACTCTTCCTCAGAGGTCCAAGTTGCTATCTTCTTTGCTTTCTTATTTATTCCTTTACAGAATTAAGTCACATGGTCAGTAAAGCTTTCACTGGTCATCTCATCAAAGACTTCAAACTTTACTCCCCTACTAGATGGTATCTATGTATTCTCCTTCCTGGAATTTTTTTCCTTAGCACTTGCTATTTTGTTTTCTTAGAACTACATATTGTTTTCTTCATTTTATTGATCGAGACTCTCCTTCAGTAAAAAATATACACCAAGGGCAGAGATTTTTGTCTTTTGTTCATTGATACATTACCAGCTTTTAGAACAGTGTCTGGAACATAGCAACTGCTTAATAAATATTTGTAGTGGAACAAATAATGAATTGCTCTCTTCTTTTACACTTAGAAAAGCTGAGGTTTCCTGCCCATTTAAAAGGTTCCTCAGTAATCCCCAGGGTTGTGCATTGCCCACATAATTACTTGGGGGGGGGGGGGACTCTGCTATAAAAAACTTCTTCTAGCATCCAAGCACAAATTTGGAACTTTTTTGGGCTGCAAGAAACAAAACTTAATTCTAAACATCTTAAATAATAAGGAAAAAAAAAAATATATATATATATATATATATTTTACAGAAGATATAGATGAGTTAGCTCCAGTTGTTTTAGTGACTCGGCAACATAAAAAAGAACCATGTTCTACCCATTTTTTAGCTTGCCCTTTCTAAAGTATAAACTTCATACTCCAGGTTAAGAGACCTAATGGTCCCAAAATGCATGACTTGGGTCCTACTATCACATCCAGACAGGACAACATCCAATGGAAGGGCTCATGCTCTCTCTCTTCCATTCCCCACTCCGTCAGCAAAGAAACATTTCCCAATAGCCCAGTTGGCCTAGAACTGACTCAACTGCCATATCCTGTTTAGCTTCACCTGATTTAAGGACCCAGACAAGAGCTATGAATGGGCCACTTTTCTTTAGACTATGGGTGTTCAGCGAAGGATAGATATCTGACCTAAGACTGAATTTTACTGCTTTTTTAAAGAAAGAATTTGAGAACCAACATTGTCCAGTATACTAAGTACCTCAGGAA